CATCTTAAAATTCACTCAAGTTTTTTCCTCTGCATTAAGTTGTCAGTTCTCCTGTAATATCTTTCTATTGCTCCTCTGAATGGCTGTTCACAGGTGCTTCTCCCATGTAGCCGTAATGTAGTTAAACATGTTTTGAGTCCTAATCTGTTAGTTCTTTTTTATTTTTTAAATAGTGTGTGACAAAATGACTTACAACACGAGGCTTGTCAATAAATAAAAAGATTTTGTTGTACTTTGCCTCTAATTCAGTTAGCAGATTGAATAGCACGCACACTCGTTAAATTCTTCCAGATCCCACTCTTTCAGATTAACATGCTTCAGACTCATGCCTGAAATCCATCTTCCTGTTGTCTCTCTCTGTAGGATAATAATACCATAAAGAAATATGAACTTCATGCTGCTCGGTCCCCGCAGTTATCAGTTCTGTAGATGGCTCCTAATGCCAGTGTGTTGATCATTGAATCATAGAAGTGTAGGACTGGAAGGAACTTAAATTGGTCATCTAGTCCAGTCCCCTGCACTCAAGGCAGGACTACTTAATAACTAGACCATTTTTGACAGGTATTTGCCTGAGCTGTTCTTTAATACGCTCCAATGAAGGAGATTTCACAACCTCCCCAGACAATTTATTCCAGTGCTTAACTACTCTGACAGTTAGGAAGTTTTTCCTAATGTCCAACCTAAATCTCCCTTGCTTCAATTTAAGCCCACTGCTTCTTGTTCTATCCTCAGAGTTTAACGAGAACAATTTTTCACCCTCATCCTTGTAACAACCTTTTATGTACTTGAAAACTGTTATCAGGTACCCCCTCAGTCGTCTCTTCTCCAGACTAAACAAACCCATTTTTTTTTCAATCTTTCCTTATAGGTACATTTTCTAGACTTTTAATCATTTTTGTTGCTCTTTTCTGGCCTTTCTCCAGCTTGTACACATCTTTCCTGAAATAGGGCACCCAGAACCTGACACAGTTCTCCTGCTGAGGCCTTGTCAGTGCCAAGTGGAAGAATTATTTCTCATGTTTTGCTTACAATACTCCTGCCTATACATCCCAGAATGATGTTTGCTTTTTTTGCAACAGTGTTACACATAGAAATGTAGGGCTGGAAGGGTTCTGATGTCATCTAGTCCACCCTCCCTTGCTGAGGCATGATTAAATATACCTAGACCATCCCTAACAGATCGTTATCTAACCTCTTCTTAAAATCCTTCAAAGACAGGGACTCTACAACCTCCTTAGGTAACCTATGCCTGGGCCACATTTACTGCAGTCCTGTCCTATATAAGTGGTGATTATTTTCTTACCAATGGTGGTTGATTATTTTAAGTAGGTAGAACTCAAGTTCCTCACGAGATTCTAATAGTTGTAAGGAAGGTGACATTGTGAGTGGAAAGTATTTGACAATGTTCATAATTTTGAATTCTTAAATGCAGTAATTTCTATCCAGTTCCAAAGACTAAGAGAGGAACAAGAGGTAGGTCAGTGGAGAAGTAGAAGACATTGAACCCCTCATCTGAAAGAAGAAAGTCTAATATAGAGCACTATAAATTATTGATTCTAGATGAAAACATTATAAGCCTGACATTTATTGCTATGTAATATTTATAAACAGAGAACATTCCTACTCCCACTTCCCTTTAGAAAGAACGTTTGGGAGGAGGGAATATTTCTACTTGTACCTTGGGCAGCCTCATTTGCTCTCAACATCAGACACCAACTTTATGCCCACACAGCACAAAGATTTCACTCTACTTTGAACTCTTCTTTTCTATCGACTCACATCTCAGACATTTCCAGATGTCCTACAGTTATTTCAAATTCCCCACACCAAAAACGTGTCTTTTCCTCACCACTTGTTGATAACTGCACTAATTTATCCAGGACCACAACTCAATTTAATTTTTTATTTTTCTTTCATTCATTGCTCACATCCAAACTCGTTCCCAAGTGTTTTTGCTTCATCCCCATAACAGTTCTAGAACTCATTAGTCTCTTAAAATCATGGTCCTAAATTTTCAAACCTGACTAGATTTTACATAGTTCCCTGCATAATCTCTGACATGGGTTGGGGCAACACCCAAGAAAGGCCCCAGGTACCTCTGTAGTGAAGACAAATCCTAGGTTTGAAACAGCTCCTATCTAAGTGGAAGAAAAGCATTCTTCCTCTCCTTTTCGAAATCTATCCTTAAAATTCATGTTTTGTCTATCCTTCCATGGACACTTATTTATATGTAACTATCCCAATCAGACTAACACCTTAAGGTAGGCAGGGACACTTTGTAAAACCGTATGCACAACTGTCACCTTATGTCCCTTAAATTTGGCTCTTGTCCATAATAAGCGTTTCCCCTGCAGACAGGACGACAGACCTGAAAACAGTATCTTTTGTGGCCTTTTTAGTAAGAATCTCAAAATGGGAACCCTTCCTTGATTACCTCCTTAGACCCTTTGGTAGGACAGCATCAGACCCAGCCTACTGGTATCAGTTGTCTCTTGTCATCCTCCCCCACTTCGTCTCTCTAAGGGCCCTCAGTAATACCTCTAACTATCCTTTAAATTGCCCCCTGCTTACTTATTCCCCAAAAGTTATTTCCACATTTCCACCTCCAAGAGAGATGTGTATGTCTCTTACTAAGTCTCCATTGCATATCTTCTAAATCCATTCAGGATTATATTTGCTGCTTTGAATAAAGTTTTGACTCTTGTTTTTCTTGTACCACGTTTACAATTTAATGCTGTGAAAGGTGTATACAAAAATTATAGTTTCTCAGCTTCTTGGTGGCATTTAACTTCAAAATTTGCATCCCCTTTCCCAAGGCCATCTGCTTTTTGTTCTAGTTAAGTATGCCTTTTCCATTTTTATTGTCCTCCCTGGAGACGTCAACCTGAATGCACAATTGTGAACTTGATTCTCTTCAAAGGAATTCAGCTCATAATTGTGCACCTGACATTTTGAAACCAGGCTGAAAGTCTAACTGGATCACAAAAATCAGTGTGCCAAAAAGGAACAGTCTAGACATAATGATATCTGTGCTACGTCACAGACGAACCAGGCCTGGAGGGATTTCCTTGGTCTCTTGCTTCTGAACTCAGTCTCAGCAGAGAGGCAGAGTCACTTCAGCACTCTACCGCTCAGTACTCGTGACTTCCTCCATAGTCTTTCTTGGAGCACCACCACAACTGGATTCTGAGAAAAGAACACCATGGACTGTAACCATCCGCAGAGGAAACATCTAGCTTCAGGAAGCAAAATTGTAAACTAAATCATAAAGCTTGACCTCAACAAGCAAATGATAAAATCTAAGCTAAAAAGATACAGACTATAGGGGGTGGGAGATCTTGAAATACCTTGCTAATACTTCCTAATAAAAGTATTTGCCACCTTTTAAGTTCTTTTATTATGTAGCTTTAGGCTCTTAACACAGTATAGCACTATGAGGTATTATTATTTTATTAGATATTTGTACAGAGCCCATCACCACACATTTAGATGTTTACAGTCAATTTTTTAAACAGACAATACACACAAACATATGAGTAACCCATAGGGGTGGCTCAGTGGAATTACCACTCTTTGGGCTATATTCTCTGCACCCAAGAGCTGTAAATTGCTATGATGACAGTTAATTAACAGTCTGCTAAATGATCTGTTCAGAGGTGGCTCCTAATAACAATAGACTAAAAATGGAATAAATTAAGACATTCTGCATTAAAAATAGATCTTTTTGGAAACAGAAGGCACCGTCTGCAGACCTGGGGGCAAATTGTGCCCATAATTATACCTATGCAACCATACGGTAACCTGTGTGGGGGATGGGTTGCAGAGCTGTCAGAGTTTGGCCTATAACTTATTAATTTTGTTGGGAATTTTTCATTCACTAACACAGAGGCAGCAGTGTTCTAGCAGACAGAGTCAGGAGAACTGGATTCTATCTGCTCGCTTGCTGTGTGACCTTAAGCAATTCAGTTCATCTTTCTCTGCCTCAATTACCCCAACAGTGAAATGTTGATACTTGTAAAGCACTTTGAGCTCCATAAAGAAAGTGAAACAATGGCAAATGAATATTGTAATAAATACATATAAGAAGGTTAGTAGCATCAATAGCATGGGACAAATGCATGATTTATGACTGTTTTTTACACAAGAATTCTAATGGAGCAAGTGGAATATAGGCCAGATGGTCAGGTTGCTGGATGAAATTTCTGTGAAGGAAAAAGAAGGGGCTTAAATCTATTCCAACTTTTTTTCTGGCAGAAACACGATAATACTGTGAAATATCCTGGATTCATCAAACAGAGAAAGTAAAAACACTAGGCTAGAGGAAAAAACAAGGGAGGCAAGTGCATAATTTCATGCTTTGGTATACCAGCTTGACAAATAATAAATGTATGAACTATAGAAAACTGGGAAAATGGCCAAAATGGTGTGAGATATTTAAACTTCTTACAACATGCAATTAGAATTCACATTTGTTGTATTTGTTTTGTATATTACACACACAAAATAAAAAATGAGCAGGAAACAACTTTCCATGGATGAGACTTCCACATTTATTTTTCTTGAAAATGGCAGTGAAGTATCCTATGAAAGAGGCAGGGAATGAGAAAAGTGTAGATATACGTGACTGTACTTTGTGCTTCAAAATTACACTATTCATTTCAAAAACAAAAATGATATATTTTTAAATTTATAACAGTTCCTTGTATTTTCTTTTTTTGTTTAAAGATGTCAGCTTTCCAAATCTGTTTTCAAATGACACACTGCATAACAAATGATGGCACTTTTAACCAATGTGGCGTTTCCATATTTACACCAATGAAAGAAATTTACAAGACATAATAGCATACAATCTCGACATTTAGTAATAGCAATAAAACAAGAAGGGCATCCATTTTATTTTTCTGTACAAACTATCATAACAAGACTTTTATTCACATTTTAAAAATCAGCTTTAATTTTATCTGACCTACACATTTTCCAAATT